CTCCCCAGCCATAATTTGTGCCATCGGTCGCCGCACGAGTGCGGGCTCTTTCCTTTTTGCACGCACGACCCACGGGACGCTCGCCGCGCCGCCCTTGGACCCGAGCCGCTCCACCAAGTTGCGCCGCCCCATGCGCTGGGATAGACTGAATTGCATCATTATTAGGCACAGCAAGGAGCCCCCGTGGACCACGAGCACTCAAACTCCCATCACTCAGACTCCAATCGAAGCGCGGAACCAGATCGTCAGCATGGTGCGGGACTTCGTCCGCCGCGAGGTGAGCCCGGCCGCCGCCGAGCACGACGCCAACGACAACCGTCCCTACGACCTATCGAACAGATGATAGGAGCTGGGCTGTTCGGCATCAACGTGCCCGAGAATACGGCGGCATGGGCTTGGACTACACCACCTTCGCCATGATCTTCGAGGAGATCAGCAAGGCTACATGACCCTCCACCGGAGCCCTGGGCACCCACCATATCCTGACCTACGTGCTCACCACTACGGCAACCCAGGAGCAGCGCGACCTTTCCTGCTCGCCTCGTCAGCGGCCAGATACGCGGCGGCCTGCCTCATCACAGCGCAACGGCGCGGCCAGCGATGTGGGCGCCCTCGAGACCCGCGCCGTCAAGGACGGCGAGGAGTACGTGGTCAACGGCTCCAAGATGTTCATCACACAACGCCGACTCCGGCGACGCCTTTGCCTGCTGTCCCCGCACCAATCCCGACTCGTCCTCAAGCACCGTGCCTCTCGCCTCGTCATCGAAAAGGACGGCAGCCCCGGCTTCAAGGTGGGGCCGCCACCTGGACAAGCTGGGCTACCGCGGCCTGGACACCTGCGAGCTCTTCTTCGAGGACTTCCGCATCCCCGCCGAGAACCTCATTGGCGGCGAGGAAAGCGCCGGCTTCGGCCAGGTGATGAGCGGCCTGGAGACCGGCCGCATCAACGTGGGCGCCCGCGCCGTCGGCGTCGCCCAGGCCGCCCTCGACGCCTCCATGCGCTACATCCAGCAGCGCGAGACCTTCGGTGTCCCCATCAGTCAGCACCAGGCCATCCAGCTCAAGATCGCCGACATGGCCACCAAGATCCAGGCCGCCCGCCTCCTGGTCTACGACGCCGCCGCCAAGAAGGACAGCGGCGAGCGCATCGACCTCGAGTCCGGCATGGCCAAGCTCTTCGCCAGCGAGATCTGCGGCGAGGTCGCCATGGAGGCCATGCGCATCCACGGCGGCTACGGCTACACCAAGGACTTCCCCGTCGAACGCTACTACCGCGACGCCCCCCTCATGATCATCGGCGAGGGCACCAACGAGATCATGCGCCTCGTCATCGCCCGCCAGCTCCTCCGCCGCCCCGAATACCAGCTGTAAGGAATAACATGACCCAAACCGACACCCCCATCCGCCTCACCGAGCTGTCCCACTGCGCCGGTTGAGCCGCCAAGCTCAGCCTTGAGGACCTGGGCCAGGTCCTGAGTTATGTTCCGCTGCTCTCCCACCCCGACCTGCTGGTGGGGGCCGAGACGGGTGACGACGCCGCCGTCTATCGCATCAACGACGAGACCGCGCTCATCGTAACCGTCGACTTCTTCCCGCCCATCACCGACGATCCCTACGAGTACGGCGCCATCGCCGCCGCCAACTCCCTGTCCGACGTGTACGCCATGGGCGGCAAGCCCCTGATCGCCCTGAACGTGGTCGGCTTCCCCGCCTCGCTGGACAAGTCGATCCTCGGGCGCACTCTGCAGGGTGGCTACGCCAAGGCCGCCGAAGCGGAGTGTCTCATCGTGGGCGGCCACACCGTTGACGACCCCGAACCCAAGTACGGCCTTTCCGTCATCGGCATCGTCGAACCGGGGAAACAGGTCAGCAACGCGGGCGCCAAGGTCGGCGATGTGCTGATCCTCAGCAAGCCCATCGGCACCGGCATCATCACCACCGCCGGCAAGCAGGGCGTGTGCGACCCCGACGTCATGTCCAGCGCCGTGCAGACCATGGCGGCCCTGAACCGGCCCGCCGCCCAGGCGATGCAGCGCGTTGGCGTCAACTCGGCCACCGACATCACCGGTTTCGGCCTGATGGGCCACCTGAAGAGCATGGTCAAGGGCAGCGGCGTCGCCGCCAGGATCAGCCTATCCGGCGTGCCCGTTCTGCCCGGCGCTCGCGAGCTTCTGGAAAACGGTGTCGCCCCCGGAGGCACCCACCGTAACCTCAGCAGCGTCGAGGACGCGGTAACCTGGGAAGAGTCCCTCACGGAAAATGACCGCCTGCCTCCTCTGCGATGCCCAGACTTCCGGCGGGCTGCTCATGTCCGTGCCGGCGGAGCGTGCGGATGCACTGATAGCCGCCCTGCGTGAGGAAGGAACGGCGTGCGCCGCCGTGGTGGGCCACATCACCGACGGACCCGCCGGGACCATTTCCGCCACCAAGTGAGACCACCCGGAGCAAATCCCATGACGACATCCAACCAGCAGCCGCAAACCTCGACCACGCAGCCGGAGTTCGGCCTGAAACGCCCCGACCAGATCAAGATCGCGCCTCCGGGTGGCGAAAAGGTCCCGCCGGGCCAGTTCGTCGCCAAGACCTTCCCCGTGCTCACCTACGGGGATACCCCGCAGATCGACCTGTCCACCTGGACCATCCGGGGCCTGGGGTCTCGTGGAGCGCGAGGTCACGCTGGACTGGCCGCAGTTCTGCGCCCTGCCCCAGGTCGTCATGGACGCCGACTTTCACTGCGTGACCCAGTGGTCCGCCCTGGATCAGACCTGGGAGGGCGTGCTGGTGTCGGACCTGCTTGAACTGGCGGGCATATCACCGGACGCTCGGCACATCATGGCCCACTGCTTCGGCGACTACACCACCAACGTGCCGCTGGATCTGGCCATGTCCGAGGGGTTGCTGGCGCACCGGCAGAACGGCGCCGAGTTGGGCCGGGACCACGGCTGGCCGCTGCGGCTGATCATCCCCCAGCCGTTACGGCTGGAAGTCCGCCAAATGGCTCAACGGCATCGAGTTGCTTGCCGAGGACGCGCCGGGCTTTTGGGAACAGCGCGGTTATAACAACAACGCCGACCCCTGGCAGGAAGAACGGTTCTGGCCCGAGCTGACGCGCTGATCGCGGGCTCGAGAGAAGACAAAAAAGAGGGGCGGGTTTTGAACCCGCCCCTCGATTGTGCGTCGATTGGTGGCTACGCGGCCTTGAGAAGCTCCTTGCGCGCGGTTCGCACGGTCGCAGTCGCGGCAATGGCCGAGTGTTTCGGCTTGGCGAATTCGACCGCCTGGTTGGGAGCGTCCAGGTCCCTCTGCCATCCGCACTGGAGGCAGCTGACGAACATCGCCGTAGATGTCGCGCCGCATTTCCAGGTCGCCGGAGCACTTGGGACAGGCGTTGAACTCAGTCTCATGATTGCCTCCTGACCGAAAAATTTTGCTATCCGCAAATTTTGGTGTATCGCCTGGTAACCTGATCGTCTCTTATACGAGATAAACGGTTGCCCGGATGCCCATTTTTTGAATGCTCGTTTGGAATGCCTGTCCGTGGATTTTTGGTTGTTTGCCGCTGTCATCGGTGTTGTTGCGTTGGATGATACAGATTGACATGGCTCGTGTCAAGGGTTATATTTATCCCGTAGCAATGTGATATAATTCACGCACGGAGCGTCACCCAGATGCAACAACGATGGACCAACCCCGACCCGACCCGCCGCACTCGCCTGGAGCCTTATCCCGCTCCAAGTGTTGAGGCTCCCGCGGGCTGGCCTGATGGGATGTCCCCGGCCGCGGCGCGCGGACCCGGAGACCCCACGGAGCCGGAAGCCGCCGGACCGGACGGAAACGCCGCGGCTCCAAATATGGAACTGGAAGGGGTGTACATCATTTCCGTCGCCGCCCGCCTGCTGGAGATGCACCCCCAGACCCTCCGCAAGTACGAGCGGCTGGGCCTCATCCAGCCGGTTCGCACCGTCGGCATGCTCCGGCTCTACTCGCAGGACGACTCCGCAAGGTGATGCTCATCCGCCATCTCATGGACAACCTCGGACTCAACCTCGCCGGCGTCGAATTCGCGCTCAAGCTCGTCAACAACCTCAGCGTGTTCTCCCGCCGGCTCACGCGCGCCACCGACGACGCGGCGGTGGTGGAAAACATCCGCCACGAGGTCACCCTGTTGTGCAGCAGCCTCAGCCTGCCCACCCCGGAATGACCTCGAACCTAACCACACTGGAAATCGCAGTTCAGGAAAATGTAAATGGCACAGGAATATGTAAATGGCAATTGATGAAACCCTACCGCCCGACGCCGGGCAACCCGACGATCTCGATCCGGGTACGCTGGCATCGGACTTCTACGCAACCGGATCGACCTCACCCACGGACGATCCCGGCGACGCGCCTCCAATGCCGCCGGAACAGGAGGCATTGATGCTTCGGGCGGCGTTGGCGGAGGCCAACGAGGAGATCGCCCGCCAGGCCGACGCCGTCCAGCGCGGTCACGCCGACCTGGCCAACGCCCGCCGCCGCCACGACGAGGAACGGCTCACCATCCAGCGCCAGGCCAACAGCCGGCTGCTGGTCGGTCTGTTGCCCATCGTGGACGAGTTGGACCTGGCGGTGAACCACCTTGAAAGCGGCGCCGCGGCGTCGGCGGTGGAAGCGTCGGAATCCTGGGCAGAAGGGGTACGATTAATCCAGCGCAAGCTGGCAACCTTCCTCGAATCCCAGGGCGTGGCTCGCATCGAATGCCTGGGCGAGCCTTTCAACCCCGAATTTCACGAGGCCGTGGGCATGGCCCAGGTCGGCGACGCCGCGTCAGGCAGCATCGTCGAGGTCCTCCGCCAGGGCTATCGCCTCCACGACCGGGTCGTTCAGGTCGCCCAGGTGGTGGTGAACCAATAGTCCGGCCGGCCGCGCTGCCCGGACAGACAAATCAAGCTCACAACCGCCCGGTGGCGGCTTGCGGGCAAATCACATCTGCACCCCAATACACTTTGAGGAGACACGACAATGGCAAGGATTCTAGGCATCGACCTCGGCACGACCAATTCGGTGGCTGCGGTGATCGAGGCCGGTGAGGCCGATGTGGTTGAGAGCGCCGAGGGGAACCGCATCACGCCCTCAGTGGTCGCGGTCAACGCCCGTAGCGGCGAGCGGTATGTCGGGCAAACCGCCAAGCGACAGGCCGTTACCAACCCGGACAACACCATCTTCTCCGTGAAGCGACTCATGGGAAGGCGTTTCACCGACCCCGAGGTCCAGGACGCCGCCAGGCGCCTGCCCTACACCATCGCCTCCGGCGACAACGGCGACGCCCACGTGGAGATGGCCGGCCAGAACTACGCGCCCCCCCAGATCTCCAGCATGATCCTGCAGAAGATCCGCCAGGACGCTGAGGCCAAGCTCGGCGAGCGGATCACCGAGGCCGTCATCACGGTCCCGGCCTACTTCAATGACTCCCAGCGCCAGGCCACCGTGGACGCCGGCAAGGTCGCCGGTCTGGACGTCAAGCGAATCATCAACGAACCCACCGCCGCCGCGTTGGCTTACGGTATCGACCGGCAGCAGACCGACTCCAAGATCGCGGTGTTCGACCTCGGCGGCGGCACCTTTGACGTCACCATCCTCGACCTCGGCGCCGGGGTGTTCGAGGTACTGTCCACCAACGGGGACACCTATCTCGGCGGCGATGACTTCGACGAAGCCATTTTGAACTGGCTGGTCACGGAGTTTCGCGCCGAAACCGGGATCGACCTGGCTCAGGACCGCATGGCCCTCCAGCGCCTCCGCGACGCCGCCGAGCGCGCCAAGATCGAGCTGTCCAGCACCCTGGAAACGGAAATCAACCTGCCGTTCATCACCGCCGACGCCAGCGGCCCGCAGCACCTGGTGAAGCCCCTCAGCCGTTCTCGCCTCGAGCAGCTGGTGGCCCAGCTGGTTGACCGCACCGAGGGCCCCTGCCGGCAGGCCATCACGGACGCCGGCGTCAGCGCGGGCAGCATCAACGACGTCATCCTCGTGGGCGGCATGACGCGCATGCCCGCGGTCCAGGCCAAGGTCCAGCAGATTTTCGGGAAGGAACCGTCCCGTTCCGTCAATCCGGACGAGGCGGTGGCCCTGGGCGCGGCCATCCAGGCCGGCGTGCTGGGCGGCGAGGTGGGCGACATCGTTCTGCTGGACGTTACCCCGCTGACCCTCGGGATCGAAACCCTGGGCAACGTGACCACCGCGCTGATCTCGCGCAACACCACCATCCCCACTAAGAAGACCGAGACCTTCACCACCGCCGCCGACGGCCAGTCCAGCGTGGACATCCACGTGCTGCAGGGCGAACGGCCCATGTCGGCCGACAACAAGACCATCGGCCGTTTCATGCTGGACGGTATTCTGCCGGCCCGCGCGGCGTGCCGCAGATCGAGGTCACCTTCGACATCGATTCCAACGGCATCCTGAGCGTGTCCGCCCAGGACAAGGGTACCGGAAAAGAGCAGCGCATCGTCATCCAGACCAGCAGCGGCCTGTCCGACGAGGACATCGAGCGCATGATGGGCGAAGCCGAAGCCAACGAGGAGACCGACCGGCAGCGGCGCGCCGAAATTGAGACCCGCAACCAGGCGGACAGCCTTGCGTACTCGGCCGAGCGCCTGTTGACCGAAAACGCCGAGTCGTTGCCCGCCGACCTCAAGGCCGAGGCCGAGGGCAAGCTCGAGGCGCTCCGTTCGGCCATCGCGGCCAACAACGTGGCCCAGATGCAGACGGCGATGAACGAGTTGAACGAAGCCCTGCAAAGGGTCGGCCAGGCAGTCTATTCACAGCCCGGATCCGGCGGCCCGGGCGCCGCTCCCGGGGATGCCGAAACCGGTCCCGACGACACGGTGGAAGGCGAATTCCGCGAAGTCTGAACGCGCCGGAAATCCACCAGGCGGGGGACGGGCTTTGCGCTCGTCACTGGCCGGGCCCCAGCGACATCGCGCTTGAGGACTTGCCAATCCGTAATCCCTTGTAAACTGTTCCCGCGTCGTGTCCGAGCGCTAACGAAAGTGCTATAATGGCGTTGAGCTCAGCAATCCGTGGCGGGTGCCGCCCCGTCGGTCATTTGGAGAAGTGCAATGAGCGCATCACAAAGAGATAACACGGAAGTCACCGATTTGGAGAACGAACAACAAATAATGAATGCTGCGCCCATAGGCGTGGACCAACAGGCGGGCCCTCAGGTAGAGGACTTTGAAGCCGAGTCAATGACACCGCTTCAGTCGCATTATCTGGAAACTCTGCGACAGCTGATCGCGGTGAAGAACGAGTACCAGACCGCACCGGAATTCGAGGGTTGGATGATGGATGCGATCAAGCGCTCCATCTACTCGGCACTGCGAGATTGCATGGAAGCCAACATCGGTGATGCGGCCCGGGAGTTGCTGAACCAGGAACACCAGGTCAATTAGCAACTGAGCTCGGATTGCGGCGGGCCGGAAGCATTGCTTCCGGCCCGCCTTTTTTGCAATCAACGCCAGGCAGCCGGCCGCACGCGAGATCGCGCGGGCAACGATTTCACCCCCGAATCGGTGCGGCGCCACCGGGTGATGGAATTGTCCGCAACGCCGCCAAGCCGCTCTCCGGTCGGTGACTTTTCAGAGATCGACAACTGTTTGGGTTCGAGGTAGCCGCTCAACACTAAAACCGTCATACCGGCGAAAGCCGGTATCCAGCACATCCTTGCTGTTCTCACGTTTCTCGGAGCGCAGGGCCTCTGGGTTCCTGCTCCCGCAGGAACGCCGTGTCCCCGACCAGGAAACCTGACAACGCTGAACACTTCCTCCGGTCGCCGACCATTTGACACGGATTTCCGTGCGTATGATATACTTCGAACGCGCTAGCCGAGGTGGTGGAATTGGTAGACACGCGGTCTTGAGGGGGCCGTGGGCTTTCGCTCGTGTGGGTTCAAGTCCCGCCCTCGGCACCATCTCTGTTGCAGGTGAGTGAACGCGACACCCATCAAGACAGCGCAGGCACGGGGCGACGTAGCCAAGTGGTCCAAGGCGGAGGTCTGCAAAACCTCTATTCGGCGGTTCGAATCCGCCCGTCGCCTCCAAATTCAAATCCGTCTAAACACGTTTTTCGGGTGGACATTCCGTAGGGTTCAGGATAACCGGGCGCAGCGCTCTAGCTGAAAGAGCCGTTGCGCTTTTTGTTTGGTCAAGTGCCGAGGTGGCGAAACGGCAGACGCGGCGGACTTAAAATCCGCTACCTCCCGGAGGTGTGTGGGTTCGAGTCCCGCCCTCGGCACCA